CAGTCGTTAGTTTCAAGTCTTCTTCAATACAACATGATGTTTATTTTGTAAATTAGGGTCCCATTTAGAGGGAAATAGATGTTAAAGCAGCACCATTGAAAAAACTGTTTAGGAGTCGGCTGTTAATTTTTTCCGGTTAGAAGATTTAGTTTTTAGCCCGTTTTTCGCTAGTCCAAATTAATATACCAGTTGTGTGAATTACGGATGCACCTTGCAAGCTAGCTAGTGCCACCCTCCAAATATTGTAACGTCCTTTTAATAAAAATCAAGATGGCAAAGGCCAAAATGCGAAACTCGAGACTTCAAAACAGTAGTCCACAAACTAACGAGTGATGTCATGGTGACAACATGCACTTCTTTTATACTGTCTATGTTCCTGTGTGAAGAAATCTGGTCGGATTTTACGCATGTGCGCTCCCGAGACTCTTGCCTACTGATTCCGAACTGTACACACATTGACAAAACTGCAGCTAACGAAATGTAGTCAGCTCACACCAAAACAAGGCACAACACAGACTCCAACACAAACTCCATATAAGGATATAAAAACAACAAAAAAGTTTTATTTGCTGAAGCCCATCAGGCCAAACAAGAATCAGATCATCGTCAGGCAAATATCTTGTGATTTTGTTTTAGTTGGCTAATGCCGACCAGTTGCTAAAGTTTTCTGTTTAATGTTAGTGTTAACGTTATAGTTTTAACAGCTAATGCTATCCATATTACTATTCTGTGAACCACTGATATTATGTCAATCTGCTGTGTTTGCTTCGTAACGTTAAATTTAGATTCATTGTTGTTTTACTGATAGGTACACAGCTTCATGACCCACATAATATACAATAATGCAACATAACACGGGACAACAATACACAGTGGAAGACCCATTCACTACAGTAAAGTTACTTACTGTGGACTAACTGTTATACTTAAAGGTGGCAACAATCTCACTTATAATGTTCAGTCTAGCTCACCAACTGTTTCGTTATCATCCATTAAATTATTGCTATGCTGACATTGCTGAGTGAAAGATACACGTTGGCTAAATGCAGTCAGTGTAGCGTTATCATGAAACGAGTATGGATTTGTTCAAATTCAAGCTGAAAAAAAATATGACTTTAACATTGCAGGGGGAGCTAACCTAAGTTTCCAGCAGTTTGTGAGATGCTGTCTTTTGTTACAGTTAGTCTCTGTTTTGGCTGATGCAGAGTGCTCGAGCACACGTAATCTGAAACCTCACCACTGGATGCTGCGGAAGACTACACTTGGCCCCTTTAAATAAAAAAGGGAATATGTCACTGTGCAAACACACCTTTAAAAGTAAAAGTCCTGCATTCTAAATCATATTCAAATAAAAGTACAGTTAAATGTACTTGAAGTACTTTAAATAAACAGAACGCTGCCTGTCAGAGTTGTAGTATGAGACATAAGATATTATTAAATCATTAAATACTGATGGGTAAACATCGTTTTGATGCAGCAGGACAAGCACTTCAAATGTATGCAAGTACAGAACTAGCATTGCTCATCTATTTTTTTTCTCTTTACATTTTCTATTGGAAAATGGATATTGTGAATTTGATGCCTTCGATTTAACACTTTCTTCTTTAAAATGTTGTAGTTTATCCTAGATTTAGCATAAAGACTCATCTACATCACACACATTTGTCTTACTATCAATTTAGGCATTGTCACACAAAATCAAAGGAACATTTATCAAACAATAACATTCAACCCAAATAAGAGTTGTGTTGCTGCCAGTTGTGTTGTTTTTCTACAATGTTTCTGCCTCCTTTTGCCAGCTGTGTGAGGCAGCACTCCTGAAGAGCACTGTCTGTTTTTGTTCTTTGTGTTTTTCCTCCTAAAGGATAAAAGCGCTGGCCACATCCCTCTTCCCTATTAGCCCTTGCTCTTCAGTGCCGCCTTTGAAGATTTAATCAGTCAGATTTCCTGGATTAATCCTTTTTCATGTCCTTTCACGGTAAATTATTACAGAGTTTGATACGATCGCTGGCTGGATAGAGAGGACGGCATGCAGATTTCTGATAGAGCCGAGTCCCCAGGTACCTTCATTAGCCTGATTATTCTCATCCAAACACACTCCACCAACAAGTTTACATGTAAATAGGTTAATTCTATTCCCACTCCTCACTCGCTGTGTCAGCACGCTGTTGAGATAACAGATGAGATCTCACCAAATGTTATCTATTAATTCAGTCTCTACCTTGTGCAAAATTACTGTCAAATATAGAATTTGCACACTACAGAGGCTGAGAGGGGTTTTCCAGCAGATTCTGTTTAACAGACGACTGAATTTCACCCATTCATCAGCTGCAGAAAAGCCCAGCAGTGAAGGATCATGTCTTTCCAATACAGTAGTTCCAGAAAACCCCAGTCTGACTAAACAGTTACAGCAGGTTGTCTGATGGCGACACCTAGTGGCCAAATTATCCAAACACCATCAAATCATCCATTTGATGTTTTAAGTTCAGCAAATAACTTTCACCACTTGGTGGCAGTGCAATTCTCCTCTCCTCATTTTTTAGATTCAGTACTGAGAAATGCATCCCATGGCACTCGTAATGCAATCCTCACTCCTCATGGGCTTATACAGTGCAGGATACTACATTTTCATAAAATTTGAATTAAGATACTTTCATTGGTGCCTGCGTTCAGCACCATCAGATGCTTTTTTGTCGACTAAGTGCACAGTAGTTGCATGCTGTTGTGCAGCAGAGGAGATGAGGAGCTGCTGCCCTGACTGCCCCTCTCCCCTCAGGATTAGTGAGTTAATGCAACCATTTAGACAGTGAGCTCAGATCAGCTGCTTAATACTGTTTTATCCCAAATAACACAAGCATGCACGCACAATATGTGTACTTCCACAAACACATACCATACTGCACATGCATAAACTTACATATAGCTACTAAATCCAACTCACACACTTTATTATATATTATATTGTCGACTTGCAAATAATTATCAGGCAATAGAAAACTGCGCTCAGACTAATTTAATGTGAAATGTAAAAAAAACCTGAGTAATGCTTCATTTTATGGGTTCATAATTACTTTATAATTTTCTAATACTTTTCAAGAACATTTACCAGAAAGCAACTATATATATATATATATGTAGGAATTACATAAAATGTGAACATTTGGAAAGTGGAAAGAAATATGGAAAGAACTCCCTATAAGCTGAATTGTATGCATGGCTGTAAGCAAATTTCACATTATTGCACGCCCAGCTGATCTGTGCACTGACTTAAAAAAAATTGGTTACACTTGCAATCAAGTATGTGCAATTGTAAGACGTTGGTCTATCAACTGTCTATCATCTATCATGTGGATAAATAAGGAATATCCAATATATCCAGGGTCAGATGTCTGAGGATAGTCTGGGCCTTCAGAGAGATGCCCAATTTTTGTTATTCATCCTGCCTCTTCAAAGTTAGTCTCTGGTTCCCCTGGTTAGTAATGCAAATGCACTACACACACACACAAACACACATACGCATGCACGCACACACACATACGCATGCACGCACACGCACACACACACACACACACACAGGCTTATACTAATCCTTGCAAAAACAAAGTGATATATTTCTCCCAGCGCAGGTCAAGCGTGGGATGTTCATCAGCATGTTTATCAGGATTACGAGCATTTCATGCATAATATAACCTCTAACATCATACTTACCAAATGCTCACTGTTCTAAATGGAAAGATGTAGTGAACATTGTACAGAAATACACAGGAAGATAAGTTGACCAGCAACAAGATGATCCAACTGATTCTTTCAGACCATTCCCACCAATGAGCCATGACCCAGTGTGACCTTGTGACCCCCTCTAACTGACCTCTCAGTGGGTGGCCTTCAGACTGACCAGCCTGGAACATGAATCAACAGAAGTGGCTGCTCTTAGATCAGATCTTTGTTATTTTATTTAATTGTTTCCTCCTCCTTTGAGAGTACATTTCCAGGACGATATTTTTCTGCTCAGTCAATTGCTCTTTTTATTAGAATTTTCTCTTTTCCACTTGTTGTCATTCAATGTCTATTCTCACATTTTCATTCTCAGATTTACGCCTGCTCCACCATAAAAAAGGATTTAAAGGCCAAGTCACGCCAACACTATAAATTTTGATTTAGGTATTATGTTCCTGAATGTCTGTGTGTGTATATAAAAGGTAAAAAGTATAAATGTGCTGTGTACGTGTATATTACAAATATGAGTGTTAAATTGTTGTCTGAGGGAATGTCACGACAGGATTTTGCTGTCCAAGTGTCAATGAGGAAGAAAGTCTGCATGACCGGGCAGCAATGTTAATCATAAATCTTTATCTTGCAGTCCTGCCTCGCACATCCGTCGCTTTCATTTAATGACGTCGGAAGGATTAGTGCAGCTAAACCACCGAGATCTGGAGAGAAAAATGAGAAACAAAGTAGGGAGAAAACAGGATACCTTGCTGATGATGGCACTGCTGAGTCTATCTATCTATCTATCTATGTCTGTCAACACAGAATCCATGGACTGACTGAATTTTTAATATTTTAATAACATCACATTTTTGAAGACAAACAAAAATGAAAAAGGCTAAGACAAATTACATGGTATCCAATGCAAAATTTGTTGGAAACTAGATATTCATTTTCAGAACGTTAACCTGAGAATGGCATTTTGGCTTCTTCATCTTGATCCCTCGCTCCATCACTCCCTCCCTATATATTTTCTTCCAGTTTTAAAATCAAAACATCTTCCCTCCGTAGACAACACTTTCCAAAGACCAGCTACATCGTGCTGGGACCTACCTCTGAATGTTTTGAGTGCAAAACATAAAATACTGTCATAAATAACAAAGAAAAGTTGACACAAAAGAAATGTAAGAGATAAACTATCAGTCTAAGTAACAAACAAAAGAGGCATTGACCAAAAATATATACAAAAGGAAAACCAGACACACACCTGCACATCAGAACAAAGTCCACGTATGCTGTATTAAATTAGAGAATAAATAGAAATACTTTTAATTTATGTAGATTATCTGATATTACCAAAGCTAAATTAGAAGTGCTTGTATCACAGTAACAGGACATCTGGTAAAAATGGCCAAAGCAACATTTTCTGTTAGGACCCTTGAGGTCATTTGGTAATCTTTCTTCTTTTTTTTTTAAAGAAAATGTATTAGTTTTACTCAAGTATGTTCTAATGTTAACAATGTTCAGCGGTGCTAGACTAAGTGCACCACACATGTAAACAAACCATTTTTATTCTACAGTTTCTCTACTACCAGACTCATCCTTGAGTCTTAGTCCATGAGACATCAATGTCAGTCAGTGTTCATGAAGGATCAAGGAGCAAAGACGAGTCAGTCAGGTTCGATTGATGGCAGAATTGACCCTCCTGATCTGTCTTAGTCTCTGTAGACGGAGGTTATCTGTCGGGGGGGCATGTGGGGTGGATGGTAGGAGTCATATGGTCCCTCTAAGTGTACGTCATAGCCGGTCTGAGTCTGATACAAGCCCTGGTCCACAGGGGTGGGGGAGAAGTGGTGTGGGGGTGGGTAGTGGGGTGAAGGCTCCTGTTTGGGCACCAGGTTACTGCTGATGCTCAGAGGTGGTGTAGGGGGGCCATCATATGGAGGGGTCCCCACACCGCCAGCGTTATATTCATTAGGTGAGTGATTCTGGTACACTCCTCCTTTCATCGCCCTCAGGTGAAGCAGGTGAGCAGAGTCAAAAGTGCCGTAAGGCGGACTTGGCAGGCCTGGAGAGGAGTAGCTCACTATGCCACCGAGAGAAGTTGGTGCTGCCCGAACTCTGTGCATGTCATCAGGCCTCATCCCACCACCAGGAGAAGGCCCCAGCTGCAAGCAGCCAGCCACCAGGTTGGTGGTGGGCTGTGAGAGGCCCTTACACAGCGTCTCCATGAAAGCCCTGCTCTCTGTGGAGAGGCCCCCCTCCAGGGCCTCAGACAGAGCGCAGATGTAGTTGCGGGCCAGCCGTAATGTCTCGATCTTGGACAGTTTCTGTGTTTTGGAGTGACAGGGCATGATGTTGCGCAAGTTCTCCAGTGCATCGTTTAGACCGTGCATACGTGAGCGCTCCCTGGCGTTGGCCTTTACACGCCTCGCACGGAATCGCTCCTGCCGGCCCTTGGTCATCCTCTTTTTCTTGGGCCCTCGTCGTTTGGACTCGTTTTCATCACCCTGTCCCTCCTCCTCCTCCTCCTCCTCTTCCTCCCCGTCTTCCTCAGCATCCTCACTCCCCATCTCTCTGTCCTGTTGGCTCACTCCACCTGCTCTGTAGCGGTGCGATGAGACGGACACGTCTCCATCAGGTGAGCTCATGTCTCCATCCATCCACTGCAGAGGGCTGACAACCTCCTCTCCCTCGCCTTGTCTCACATATGGCTTAATCATCATAGTACTCTAGAAAAAAGAAAACAAATTTGTCAAACATGTGTGCTGTGGTGCTGACACGCTTACAATCCTAATACTGTAGAAACTTTCTCACATTTCAGAAAAACTAGAAAACGTTTTAATAACGTCCACCACAGCGACTCAGATTGCTTTTATCATTTGAGAGAATCCTTTATGTTTCTGTTCTGTCTTTTCAGTATTATGTAATCTATGTATTTCATATTCGCTCGTTACATTATCATATATTTCACTAGAGGTCAACTTGGCTTCACAGTGTTTTGGGGACCCACAAAACCCATTCTTATTGAGGGTCAAAATCTTTATTGCATTATTATACTCTTATACTGACTAGCAGGATCATCAGCATTATGTTGGTTTTATTGCAAAGAAAAACTTTGTTTCATTCATCACTTAGGCTAAAATCACAGCATAAGAGAAAGAAAGTTTTTACTCAAGCACTGCATAGTATTTGTACTCAACTTTAGTATTTCTGTTTTATGCTGCTACACTACTTATCAGAGGGAGCTATTGTGCTTTTTACTCCCCTACCAGTGACTTTGCATATTCTTTAAATACAAAATGATGACTTTAAAAAATAAAATGTGATGTATTGTTATACAACACATTAAACTACCAACACCACCTCAACCAGCTAAAACATAATCACGATGCGTTATGATATTACATCCATGTCAAGGCATCTGTCATAATAGTTCAATATATTAATACTTTTGGAGCATTGTTACATGGTGGTATTGCAGGTTGTTCTTGTATAAATATAAATAAAGGATCTGAATACTGCTGAAGAACACCTGACAGCATTTGTTTAGACTCAAAAACTTCTTTATAGTGGGAATTTTAGGTAATATATTTCAGTATTTTAAGACTGAATGTGTTTAGATTTGATTAGTTTTAGGCCAATAAAAATAAAAGAGGATTGTTTTTCCACCAGTTTATTCCTCACAGTGTGAAGACCACTTAGGCTTTCTGCAGCTTATGCAATTAAAATTGACAGAAAATACGATTGATAATTCAATTTATTCATTAATGGTCTTTTACAGTCCTTCTTTTTGAAACTTGTTCATATTTTTCTGGATGTTGAGGGGTGCATTAGAGGGGCTCATGACCTTGGTATTTCAAAACTCCTGGTTGTAAAGGAAACACCTGGAGGCAGAGAATGTCAAAATTTCATCCACCAATAATATAATAATGATAATAACCTAGTAAGTATTTTGTAAACCGTGACTGTCAGCAAAACGGGCCGGACAGTTTCAGCACCGGACAGTTCCCCCTGTCGCGCGCTCCTCTGCCACAGGTGTTGGTGACTGATAGACCGACACAATAACGCGCGGGGAAGAGCGCATCCCCTAGACGATAACCTTTGTGCTAAGTGATGACTATTTGAATTTTCATATGCATTATCTATTTTTATTCCTTCTCTCCCCCCCACTCGGGGTAATCCCGGTCCGTTTGTGAACTGGTAGGCTAATGCCCCGGCGAGATAAAGTCACCGACAGGACTTCAATCTGGGGCAGCGCAGGATTTGCTCCGTGGATGAAGCGGCCACCATGGGATTAAAAGAAAGATCGACATCCCCAGATCAGCAGACGACTCAGATTGAATTGAAATCAGACTTTTCCAAACGCAGAAGTATTAGTGTCTATAGTCAATTGCGTGCTTGAGCAGCTATTTGATCAATGTTGACTGAAGCATGTAGAAATATGATTGATTGATAATATATAGGCTACAGATTTTTACACGAGACTATTGCCCGTTGACTATAGGTGTTTTAGCTAGAGACCAAAGCTGCAAGGCTGTGCCAAATGCAGCTTCTTCGTCAAAAACTAACAAACAAAAAACGTATAGGCTAAATAGCGATTGATCTGGATCAGAACTATGATCTGTTTGCCTGATTAACACATACACGCACGCGCGCACACTCTCACACACACACACACACACACACACACACACACACAAATCAGCCTTATAAAGTCCTTCAGGTTACAGAGCCTAAATAACTTTTTAAAACTTTTTTGTAACATACCCAAGCTGATGTGTCCCGGGACCTGCTCAGGAAGTTTGGCAGATGATGTGTTTCTTTTCTCCGCGGATCGCAGTTTTGCTCTCTCTCTCTCTCTCTCTCTCTCTCTCTTTCTCTCTCTACGTCCGCTGTCCAACAGTGGTGAAGTTCGGTGCAGAGCTGTCCCACAGAGTCTTAGCGTGCGTCACCCTGCGGGGGCTCTGGGTTTTAACCTCGACGTTTGAAGCTCCTCCTACTCCATCTCCTCCTCCCATCCAATTCCTGTTGACGCGTTTGAGCTCGCGCGTGGCCGGCCCGTGTCTCGACCCGCTGCAGCTCCGTGTGTGTGTGTGTGTGTGTGTGTGTGGAGGGTCAGAGAGATGTGCATAAGCTCACTGAAATACTCCAGACAAACAGGAGAGGCCCGGGCCTTTGTTGCTGCGTGAGGGCGGCCGCCAAATCTGCAGTATGTTTGCATTGAACGGAGGAGAGACGCGCTCAGTCGGCTGAGCCTAACTGTATGTGACAGCTTGAAGTTGCGTGTGAGCAGGTGTTTGCGCCATATCGCCCTCTTTTCAGCCATCCATCTCTCCGCACTGCGGAGACAGACTGTTGAACAAGTTAATTTCACCCAAGAGGCAACTCTGACCAGACGGGCGATTGGTAGTCATCTTTGGGACTCATTGCATGGCCTCCTCTCCCTGCAGTATGTGGGTCCATGCCTTTTAGATTTACAGCAGCTTAAATCATTATAACCCGTATTAAATGTTCAAAAATGACATGCTTGTCAGTATTTGTGAGTGGTGGACGAAGTACTCACATCCTTTAAGTAACATTTGAAATACCACACTGTAAAAACATTAGTAGAAGTTATGCACTCAAAATTTTACTTAAGTAAAAGCACTATTATCAAAAATGTATCAAAAGTAAAAGCACCCATTGTATTTTGCCTGCATCCATACTGATGTATTATTGTGGATTATGCATTAACATGTAAGTAGCATTTAAGAGTTGCAGCTGGTCAAGGTCTTTGCAGCTTTATACACTGCTGCATTATATTACACTGATCTTTAAGAATGGAAAATCTGCAAAGTAACACGACACATAGAAAAATAAAAATGCTAATAGAGTGATACCATAGAAGAACCATTTTTGGCTCTGCAAAGAACCTTTCAGAATACGGCTCTTTTTATGCTAAAGCCATTATATACCATGTAACATTGTCTGACTCATGATGCAAAGTATAAATATCGATGCAGCAGAACAAGAGTACTTATTCTTGTTCTTTGTCAAACAGTTCGGTGGGATATTGTGGTGTGTTATGAAGCTAGCAGCTAATGTAGCCTCGAGTTACTAGCTTCAAGCAGAGATGAGCAGCAGGCTACAGAGATCTGGTAAACTCACCTCTTTCTAGCTCCACACCTCCAGATTTCTTTTTGTTCAAACTTGTAGTCTTCAGGAATTTTCTCAAGATACCAAATATTGTTTTCCTGTGATAACAGGATAATTTTCTTCTGGTCTCGAGATAACAAAACTGTAGTTTAACACAGGGGTCGGCAGGAAAGTTTCTTAATGGTAATTTTGGTATAGATTTTCAGTGTCACTGGTTAGCTCAGTTTCTTAGAGCCCAGGACTCATAGCCTGAGGGTTGTGTGTTTGATAATAAACAATTTTCCCCCCTTTTTTATGGTTTTCATATTCCTCTTCAACAAAGTTCTTAAGAGGAGACTGTTTCACTTGCTCACAATAAAGCACACGCTGGCAATTGGTCCACATCCATCAACCTATGGACTTTTCATTTCCCCATCATTCCCAGGAAGAGGAAATTCCTGCGTTTTTCATTCAGGGGAATCAGTTTAACATTACACATTTCCTGATGGCTATTTTGGAACCTTTGAAATAGCTGTTGGGAATGTGTGATTGGATTCCCCTGAATCTCCTCGTAACAACTTTGCTTAAGAGGATAATAAAAAACACACAAAAGAAGAGCAAAAAAGATGTAGTGAGGTACAGCTATTTACATGTCCTGTGCTCTACCAACTGAGCTAACCAGTCACATTGACAAGTACTATTAAATAATCGTAAAGAAACACACCCACCCCTGTATTCAGCTACAGTCAAATCATCCCATTATCAGGGGAAAACAACATTTGTTATCTCAAGATCTCAAGATAATCATCCTGTTATAACGGAAAACGGAGTAAAAAAAGTATTTGAATGGATGGCCGCTTAGGGCTACCGTACCAACCAATGCTGACTAGAGTGACATAACAAAAGTTGACATGTCAATAGCTAACTTGATCATTAAACCAAACTTTAAACATGCACTTGTTCTTCAAATCATAAACTGCAACACTACAAACTAATTACACATTCACAAATTTTAATTTTGTTTATGCTGACCAAGGACGAAGGAAATGAGTGTCTGGACTTTTGGCTCTTGATTGAAACATTGTGCCTAAACACCCAGTCAGGGATTTCAAAATATGTAGATTCTCATGTTTCAGAGCTGGTGAAGTATCTAAAAGGAACATATATAAAACCAAAGATATCTGTGTCTAAACAGGACAAATTTATGCTCAAAGATCATTTCATGTCCTTCTTAGTTCACCTGTTAACTCACAACCAAAAGGCTTGTGACCGACAGTTCATCTGTGATTCAGATCATGAAACAGATAAAATAATCACATAAATTCAAGATGTACACTTGGCATATGCACACTAATTCAAATTGCAAGAAGTGATTGTAATGCCTCTCATTGTTTAAACAATGCGGTCAGATTACAAGAATAAAAACATCTTGTTTTGTACATTGTCGATGAGAGTACCACAAATAAATGGTCATAATCTGTCCTTGAACTACACTGATGTTCTGTGACAAAGGAGTGAACAACAACAGGGTATCTAGGTGACACTCATCATCACTGATGGGGGAACAGAGAGGCATGCTTTAGAAACAGGGCACCACATGCTCTAACAGAGAGGCTTGAGATAGGTTACAAGGTAATGTGCACACCCAAACGATGTGCTTCTCATTCTCCCGCTCATTCC